TAAACTTCTTGGCGTCCGGGATGGCGGCGTACGAAGTCGAGACGCGCATCATGACTGCGGTGCGGCGGTGCGGCAGCGGTGAGATGGCGAGGGAAGGAAGCGCTGCGGCGGCGGCGGCGCGGGCGTCACCATAGTCACAGACGAAGTAGCTGCTGAAGACCACGTAGCCGCCGACCAGGAAGACTGCGAGGTGGCCGCTGGCGCTGAGCACGTACGCCTCGAGAAAGGCGGTCGCGGAGGCGGAGAAGCAGCAGATGGCAGCCATGAACCAGAGCGAGGGCTGCAGGTTGAGCTCGCCGCCGCTGTACCCCGGAGCCCGGCACTTCTGGACGAGAGGCGGCTCGTCGACCGGGTAGGGCAGGGAGTCGCGAGATGAGGTCCGAAGCTCGTCGAGGCGCTGCTTCGAGCAAATGCGCTGCATATGGCTGGTGGCGCTTGAGGACTGGTGAGGAGGAACAGCCAGAGCCTTTGACGCGTCCCAGCGAAGCTTCTTGATTACACTCGCCCGCCCCGCCACCACCGCCCCCCCCCCCTTCAGGCAAGCTCATTCACAATATACTCCCGATTCGTGTGATTAACGACCGAGATACGCTGGCTGCTTCTGGTTCTGCCGCCCTAGCCAATTCTTGGTGGTCCAAGTCACCTCGTCGTTCGAGGTACTGGGCCCGCGTCAGCTTGTACGTAAGAGCCACATACTGAAGGGGAGAGAAAGAACAGAAAGAACACCGGCTTTCGACGTGCGTCCCTGTACACAATGAGCCGATCGGCGCTCGCTCTGCCGCTGGGCGCCGCGCTCCTCGCGGCGGCCCTTCTCGTTGCCATCCGCGCCTGCTCGCGCAAGCGGCGTTGCTCGCTGAGGATCGCGTCCTATGCTCTTTGTTGCTGTCTGCCTTGTCAACGGCGTCCTTGCTTACGTCGACTTCTTCGCCAAGAAAGAGGGTGTGGGGTTCAACGCTGCCTTTGCCGCCGCTCCCGTGGCGGAGCCTCAGGGGGAGACGGAGCTGGCGGAAGTCGACCAGGCGTAGAGGCATACGCTAGCGCGATGCAGAGCATAACTCGATGCCGGCCGTCGGTTCCTAACCCTCACGCATCACAGACAGTACACACAGAGCCGCACCCGCAGCTCCAATTTCTTGTGGATTTGCATGGAGTGCAGTAGCTTCAGCGCAATTTCTTTTTTCGATACACGCAGTACTGCTGTTCACACGTTTCGATGCACGTACGTTAGACCGCGTGTGCAGCATGCGGGGTGCGACACCGACACGCGTCCACAGACGATCACAGCGAGCAGAGGGCCGAGCTACCGAACAACTCTACTCTACTCCAGTACTCGGATGCGCAACAACTCGTCTACCGCGCTGGCTGGCCGCGCGGCCCTTCCGTCGCGTCGTCCTCCCTCGTCCGGCACCTCTCAAGGTATGTCCGCTCCGCCACGCCGGCGCCCTCGTAGTGGGCGGGCCGCGCAGGGAGCTCGACGCCGTCGAGCTCGAAGTAGACCTCGGCGCGTCGAGACTCGTAGCATCCCGACGCCCAGAGCGCCCGCTCGGCGACGCGCTTGCCCCAGCCGTGGAGGCTGACCCGCTCCAT